GAGAGAGAGAGAGAGAGAGAGAGAGAGATTTTTTATTAATCATGGATCATAGGCATCATAGGAAATTGTTAGCCTGAATAGTTAAATTGTTAATAGTTGTTGATTGTATTAATAAGTAATAAATAAATTAATAAAATAATAAATAGCATTAAAACATTAAAATATTCTAAATTACTGCATTACAATATTTAAGTTATTATTTAAAAATGTATTAGATTAATGGACACATTAATAAGTAAATAAAACAATTTTAACATTAAAAAGTACATATTTTAAGGTTCAATTCTCACTATTAACAAACAATTAACTACGACTTTTGCCTCAATAAACTCTAACTAAAACTAATTTGCTGCTTATTAATAGTTAGTACGGTAGTTGTTAAGTTTAGGTATTGGGATCAGGGATGTAGCCTAGTATGTGGTCATGCAGAATATGTGCTTTATAAGTACTAATAAACAGACAACATTTTAATAATATGCATGCTAATAAGCAACTAGTGAGAATTGGTCCCTATACTAAATTGCTACCCTTTTTTGACAGCAAACCTGTGGTTGACCAATCAGAATCGAGTATCACAGAAAGCCTTTTACCATTCGTTATTGCGCCCTACTGAAACCCAAATTACTTTTTACAAATACTGCTTTGCTTACCCGCAACACTTTTAATTCATTAGCTTCAATTTATGTTTTCGTGTATAGGCTACTCAGGATAAATAGACTATAAACAGCACTTAATGGTCCTGTTTCTGTAAAAGCTCAAGATGGAAAGGTCATTTCTGCATAAAGCAGAAGCTTATTTATGTACTTGCTTTACATTGTTTTACTAATAATGCGATTATAATTGACATTCTCTGCATCTGGGAAGTACATACGTTCAGGTATCCAAACACACACACATACTACGTTTCCCCTTTCCACAGATGATTTACGTACAACAAATACGCACATTGTAAGTGTGAATTAGTGTTTGAAATTCCGCTGCGAACTGTCAGTGGGCTCTATAGTTCCCAACGCCATCAGAGCCATGATTAGCATTCATACTGGACGCGCTGCTGTGAAATATTACACAGGACCACACAGGCGTTGAGGGGTGTTAAACGCTGTTATGAAAGCACTGTATCAATAACAAACTATAGAACAGAACAGACCAGGGTGCACTTGAAGCGGTTAAAATGCACAGGCACACCCATAACCACGCATTTACCGCTGCAAATCGAAGGTAAACCACACACAGTCTATATACACACAGACATACGCACATGAATATTTCCTTCAATGATCAGCGGTGCACCTTCGGGAAGAAACGGGTGTCATGGCAACAGGAGCAGGCCTCTGCAAGCGTTACTGTAGCAATCAGACAGGAAAGGCAGCCAGGGGGTTGGCGTGAGAGGTGTCGTTATAGACTGAGTGATTTGGAGGGGGTGTGGGGGGTGCGAGAGGCAGGAAACGATTAAATATTCAAGCAATAACGCAGCCAGAAGAAATTACCTCGCTTTCTGCTTCTGAACATCAGAAGTTTAAACCTTTAGCACGTCTGGAAATCCGAGCAGGAAGGGTGAAGGAATCTGTAGCGTGGTCACAACCATACATGAAAGTTCAGAAGGTGTCTGTGATAAGGAAATTTGTCTAGAAAAAAAAAAAAATAATAATAATAATAATATTTTCTGACCAAAGAGCATTATTCTGAGTAAAATAGACTTTTAGCTCAAATATGTTGCAACCCAAAGAGAAAGCACTTCAAATCTCTTCATCCATTTAGCCTACAACAGCACCATAAACTGCAACGCGACTTCTGTGGTAAATGCTGCTGTTGTAAATGGGCTGCAGCCGGTTGCAGCAGTAATGACAGATTTTTTATTTAAAGACCGAGCCATAGTTTTAGTTAAGCGTGGTTTCATACAAAAAAAGAAAGAAATTAGGCATTTTAGTTTTTTTCCGTTCCCGCTGCTGTGCTGAAAACATACCAAGCCGAGGACCGTCATTTTTGTGTACCATTACACCCCTAATAAACAGTTATATTTCTTTTTTAAAAATGCAAAAATAACAGTAATCTTTTCAGCTAAACTGAATCATGGCGAACAAAATTCCCTAAATGAGGGAATGATCACGCACATTTAACCCTTTAGACTGCTCTGTTGTACCAGATGCGATCCATTTCAGTTTGTGCATCGCTTTAATACCACGATTTCCACTAAAATACAGGCTGTTTTGTTCTAAAACCATAATAAATGAATATAGCATCTTCTTTGTTATATGAGGCTTTTAGAATCATTGTGTGATTTTATCTACTTTCTGGCAGTGGTGGATAATGGCAAGTTATTTTATTTGCATTGTAGTAACTCTAACTGTAGCAAATGTGGTGTTTGTGCAGAAACTAGGGTTGCCATGGTAATGTTTTATAGTAAGGGATGAACAAAGCTATACATGTGTTCAGGCCGAGAAAATGTCGCTTAAAGGGACACTAATGTATACCTTTCGTTCCAGCTATCTATTTTTCACCTTGATTTTGATGGACACACATTATCAGCACTTATGTGCTTTCTGCACACCCACATAGCCCTCACTGAGTCACACACACACACACACACACACACACACACACACACACACACTAGAACAGCTACATTTTAGACCAGATAGTATGTTAGAGCCATCTGGTGGACAGTATAATTATCCAACTGTTCTGTGTTCTGTTTAGTTATTTATTGTCTTGCTTATTTAGCCAGTGTACAGCTTTGGAATGCATTAATTTGACCCTTGAAGATGACTAATATTTTAAAAAGCAGTATTTCATAATTGGTGTTGAAGTAATGATCTCTTATATAGTCAATGATTAATACCCACCTGACCCATTTTACCTCATCATAGCACTTTCCACAAATAGTGTACACTTTGGTGTCAGTGACCCTTTTTTAAATAATTAGATGCATTTTTTGTGAGAACCATTAGATAACTATAATCTAATATACAGTTAACCTAGCATGTAAAGTAGCTAGCTAAATGTCTGATATAGCAAATCATTTTGCCTGTCATGTATCAGAGGTCTGGACGTTCTTGACTATATACAACATTTAAAGAAATTGTTCATCCAATAATTTTAATTTAAAAATGCCACTTCTGGCCAAAATACCAGCCCATAATCCATCCCCAATAATCTGTTTTTATCAGCTGTTTGGACTCTCATTCTGACAAGTGTAGTAATGCTAAATTTCTCCAAATCTGTTCTGATGAGGAAACAAACCTCATCGGAACAGATGTGAGTAGACGGGTGAGTAAATTTTCAGCAAATTTTTATTTTTGGGTGAACTATTTTTTAATGTCATACATTCATATTTTCACATAATTTATTAAATTAATATTCCGTTTTTTGTAAAGTAAGAAAAATATTTTATTATTATGCTTTTAACCAGAAAAGTTATATTATGCTGCATCCAACATTCTGTGAGCAATCCTGTTATGGATGATTTTCCCCATTACAAAAAAGGTAACAACTTGTGTGAAACCCAAGAAGGAACATTATATTTGGATACTTTCCAAACCATTATCATTCAATTCTTTTTATATTTTTACACAAATTGTTGTATTGAATGAATGAATGAATGAATGAATATTTAATTTATGGGAAACATAATATTATCAATAGGCTAACTGCAAACCATCCCATAATAATAAATCTGTGTGAGAGTTAAAAGGACTGTCACCAATCCGTTTCCACAATCTGACCTATCTGCCAGTAACCGGTTAAAAGTTGTATAATAAAGGACTCCCACAATGCACTGCATCGTGTCAACTGACAGTGTGTGGAGTGTTGTATACTGACCTAGGATTTCTCGCGACCCGGGGGAGCTTGATCATTTATACCACGCGTGTAATTATTGCGTTGGACGCTCGCGTTGAGCTCGTGCACACCATGAGCAGTATGAGGACCGTCCTGGCCTCGATCGGGGTGTTTGGGATTGTCGGTGTGGGCTACGGCATGTGGGCCATAATTTCACCTGGAGAGGACAGGAAAAGGGAAATATTAAAGGTACTGAAACATTGCAATTTTAATGAGAAACATAAACTTATTTGATTAACTTGCATAATCGTGGGGTGTTGCTTTCACAACTGTTGGCAAGTACTAACGATTGTTTGTAAACAGTCAGTTTCATAATTAACGTGGTCGTGCAGGGTTTTACACGATCTCTTATTAACTGTGGGGGGTAACGAATTAAAATAAATGGGATCGTGTTTTATTACACACTGATTGTGATATTTACTCCCTCTGGTCACTTTTAGCCTCCTGATTAATAGCAGTGAGAGAACTTCATTAGTTGTTGTTGGATGCAGTTGACAAGGATCACCACAGTATCGCGTTGTTTTTATCCCCATGGATCACACATCTGTGTAGAATATTATAAAAATAATATGATGTTTTTACATTGCAGCAAATATTATAATGTAACGTTTTAAACAACTGATTGGAGTTGTGTCCTGATCCATCTCTTCATCTAATTTTCCAGAATCTGCCAGAGGCCAACCCCGTCCGAATGGCGGAGACCAGAAAGAGAAATGCCCTCATGCTTCAAGTTTTAAAGGATGCTGCAGAGACGAATGATAACATTGCACGTGGATATGGTGGCCAGAAATGAAGGAATGTGTTTGCACAAATATCAGACTTTCACATGCCATTAGCAATCTGTACATGCCTGGGAGTTTAAATATGAAGCCAGTGACTTGTTTAAAAATAAATTATCTGCAAATGCTCCATGTCATCACTTGGACACTGTTGGGCGCGTTCTGTAAGATTTGCTTTGATTGTATTTTCCTTGCTGGAAAATTAATCTTGAAATAGTAGCTGTGTTGCGGACCAGTTCCCCCCCCCCCCCCCCAAAAACAACAGCCAGTGACTTGTTTAAAAATAAATTATCTGCAAATGCTCCATGTCATCACTTGGACACTGTTGGGCGCGTTCGTTCTGTAAGGCTTTGATTGTATTTTCCTTGCTGGAAAATTAATCTTGAAATAGTAGCTGTGTTGCGGACCAGTTCCCCCCCCCCACCCAAAAAAACGAGCTGCCATGACCTGCATGACCACATTGTTTATATATTTATATAAATGTTTATGGAGTATCGCAAATAAAATTTTAAACGTGTTTTGTGCGCTTTACTACTACATAGCAATTTTCTAATAAAGTATACCTTCTGTTATCGCGTCTGCGCAACATTTGCACAGCCATGACTTGCACGAATGCAAAAACATCACTAACGCTAAACGCTTCCGGTGTTTAGGGTCATTGTGACCCGATATTTCTTACAGTGAGTCGTAAATCGCTCATAGCGATGGAGTTATTGGACAGCTTTCTGTATGGACGTTAATAATGTTACCAATTTATTTGGAAATTTGACAGCATCAATTGTTAGAAACACCAGAGACCAGTACAAAGGAGCTTGGATATTAAACACTTCAACCTGAACATGTCAAATCCACCGCCTCTACCGGAGCAGCCGAGTCCGGTCACACCGCAGGCGACTGAGAAACCGCTGTTTGGGGACTGCTGGAGCTGTCGAGTCCTCTCGGGCGGAGGGCTGTTGGTTTCAGGGGGATATGTGGGCATGCATGCGCGTAGAGTCATACGTCTAGGCGGACCCGCATCTATGGGCACAGCGGTTCAGATTATGTTTGCTGCAGGTGAGCTCATTCATGCCCTCTCTGTTATGAGACATGAAATCAGAACTGACTCTGATCTGTTCTCTCCACAGGTTTGGCTGCCTGGGGCATGGTGGTGATCTTTGATCCAGTGGGGAGAAGACAAGAATAGCATAGCTTTGCATTTGGTCTTCCTATGTTGACATGGACTTTTGAATGAATCTCCAAAGCCACACTGGCAGAGTTATTCAATTCAAATAATTATGAGAATGTAATGACACACGATTCAATCATATTTCATTAAATGTTTTTATTTGCAACTTACAAAACCTCTTTCTTTCATAGAAGTGATTCCGTTTATTACATCATTATAATGAGGTAATGACATACTTTACAAATTATTGTAGTATATAAAGTGCCCAAAATAATTAGTTTTTATGAATCACCTGGCTTTTACATTTTTCCCCCATCAGGAATGTCCTACTAGTCAGCACTGACAGTAATTTTAAAAAGCAAATTATGAGTTAGCATTTGGTCCTTTCTTTTTGCCAAACGTTGGGACAACATTGACAAAGCGTCGGTTATACTGAATTCTTCTCTTTGCTCTGCCGGTCTTTTTCTTTTTCTTCTCCTGCTTGTCCACCTGGAATAATCATCAGTGAACAAAGTCAATAAACCAGTACATGCCCAAAATGATTTTTTATATTATGGGATATAAACATTGTTGACATCTTACCTTGGGAGTTTGTCCTCTGACTTTGCCTGCTCTAGCCAGGGAACCATGGACTTTGCCTTTGGGTGGGAACAGGTTATATTTATGAAAACACCCAAACCAAGATATCTATCATAAGGTAGCCAGAGTTATCAATTGCTCCAAAAAAATGAATATTTCTAGTTGCTTCTGACTACCTTCAGCACAAATGAAGTTTAAAATAATGTAATTCATCAGACCTTTCACCAATGGCATGATAAATAGTCACAGGCACAGGGTAGCAAAGTCTTTACCTCCTAACAGCCTCGATGTGACCTCAAGAGTGTTGAACTCCTCAATCCCAGACTGACAAATCAGAGTCTCATCCTCCAGAGGAACCCCGCAGAGACAAATGATCTGATCATCACAGGCCAGGCCCTCCAAAGCTTCAATCTGAGCCTAAAAAAACAATTAAATAAATCATTTCCCAATCGCATTTAAGTTTGTCTAAATTAACTATGTATAAAAATCAGAAAAAGTACCTTGATTTGGGCAACAGTCTCTGAGCCATTAAGATGAATATTGTGCAAAGTCTGGCCACGAACAAACAACTGCATGATGTTCAGTCTTCATCAAACAAGATTAACGTTACATGAAAGAATTAAAACATGTAATCCGCTTGACGGAATCGTTGCAAAAAGCACAATATAAACAATATTATTTCAATATTAAAAATACTTACCTAAATCGCTACTGATACCAGATATGAAGGCCAAACACGACATCGACACCAACTCTATGAAATGTTTACGCGGTTCTAGAAAGAATTGTCCTGCGCATGCGCATTTTATTAAAGCCACATAAAAGTCCTCTGGACAGCTTCTAAAACACAGTTTTATTGTAATATTGCGTTTCAATTTTTACACAGAAGTGAATATAACACTGTAAAAATTTTGATTTTAGTCATCTTTGAAAATATTATCCTTACGCCTTTTTCTTTAGTTGTCAATAAAGTTTTTTTCACTCAAACTCATGACGTCATATTTCCCTGTCCTTCCTGTCTCTCAGAGGCAAGAGAAATGTCCGCCTCCGTCAGAAGCATGTCTTGGACAGTCTGCCGAGCTGCGAGAGTTGCTTACAGAGCTTTTAATCCAGCCACACGTTCACTGAGTACTGGAGCTTGTTTAAGAGTTAGTATTACAATCATTTTTACCGTATAATTTATCCAGGTACTGTAAAAATCAGTTGTGCATCAGCTGTCACAGTATAGATTGTTCTTGAAATGTTACGGGCCAACAAACAGTCATTCTAGCCTGATACTGAAACATAACTGAGTGATTTAACAAGACGGTTTGGTTTCATTTTAGACAGAAAGCAACCCTGCTGAAGGATCAAGGGGCTTTATTGAATCCACAGAAGAGTTCAGGTTCGTGGAGAGACTTGTTCCTCCTTCACGCATCCCTACTCCGCCGAAACATGAAGGCCCTGCACCGTCAGGATGGATCCCACCATCAGGTAAACACACTTGTATTTTTTCCTTACATGGAAAAATGCATGTAATCATAATATTGGTGCCTTGGCTTTAAGGGATGGATGTGGTTTAATCTTTGATGTCAGGAAAGCATTTTGAGATTCTCATTCATGGAGTTCTGTTTTTATTATTATTAATTATATAGCTACGCCACCTTCACTGCCTTACATGATCCGTCGCTCCAGAATGCACAATGTGCCAGTGTACTCGGACATCAAGCATGGGAATCAGCACAGCACTCTGCTCCGAAAGATTGAGGGAGACATATGGGTGAGTGTAATGAACAGACCTGTTTAGAAGAACAATGTGTAATATATTAGTCCAGTTCTTTTATTAACTGATTATCAACTATTTCCAGGCCCTGAATAAGGATGTTAAGGAATTCTTGCTGGGGCTTACAGGCAAAGAGCCTCCAACACAGGTCAATGAAATAACCGGGACCATCAGAATTAAAGGGCAGTTTGATAAAGAGCTTAAGGACTGGCTATTGAAGAAGGGATTTTAAATTTGATGTGGGCACAGCTAATGAACTGAACTGCAATACAAAGGCTGAGAGGAAATGTATAATAGTGTTCTCTCCTCCTTAAACAGGTGGACAAAATGTAAATTATCATTAGTGAACCATTTTCAATACCTGTGTTTTGCTATTGTATTAAAGAGTTTGTGATTATAGCAAACATGTTTCCATGTTGTCCCTGTTGTTTAGGATTGAAATAAATGTAAGGTATTCACTAAATCCAATTTGTAATACTTCTGTCTGAAAAAAAGGCACAATATAAAACAATGTATCTAAATTATACATGCACTTTTGTTAAAATGCAAACATCACACAATTATACATACAGTAATAAAACAGTAAAAAAAGGACAACCACTACAAAATTAAATTTAAGTGCCAAGGAGTCTCTAATACTGTCTATGTACAGCATTACTTCAGTTAACAAAACCATAAAGCTTTTTTATTTGTAAATTGAATTTATGAATGTGAAACTTTTGAATTTGGTCAGAATGAAAGTAAATTAATTAAAAGATTTAAAATCTACTATATAAATGTAAGGTATTCACTAAATCCAATTTGTAATACTTCTGTCTGAAAAAAAGGCACAATATAAAACAATGTATCTAAATTATACATGCACTTTTGTTAAAATGCAAACATCACACAATTATACATACAGTAATAAAACAGTAAAAAATGGACAACCACTACAAAATTAAATTTAAGTGCCAAGGAGTCTCTAATACTATGTACAGCATTACTTCAGTTAACAAAACCATAAAGCTTTTTTATTTGTAAATTGAATTTATGAATGTGAAACTTTTGAATTTGGTCAGAATGAAAGTAAATTAATTAAAAGTTTTAAAATCTACTATAGGATGATCAGTGAAAGCAAAATGTACATTTTCTCATAAAAGTGAGAGAACAGTTTTGAATACTGCATATCATTTCGTTTTTTTTATTGATAAAATATTTCTGTCAATAATGATTTGCCGGATAAACAAACTATCTGTTATGTTTCAATCCAGGTAATCCAAAGTACAAGGACAAGAAAGTTATCCATTATTAAAGATTTATTCAAATCCATAAGCAAGCCAACATAGCCAGGCGTTACATGATTGGCAGAAATGAAAGTAAATTAATTTAAAAAGTTTTAAAATCTACTATAGGATGATCAATGAAAGCAAAATGTAAATTTTCTCATAAAAGTTGAGAGAACAGTTTTGAATACTGCATATCATTTCGTTTTTTTTATTGATAAAATATTTCTGTCAATAATGATTTGCCGGATAAACAAACTATCTGTTATGTTTCAATCCAGGTAATCCAAAGTACAAGGACAAGAAAGTTATCCATTATTAAAGATTTATTCAAATCCATAAGCAAGCCAACATAGCCAGGCGTTACATGATTGGCAGCAGGTGCAACACACTTCTATTCTTACTCTGCACCTTTTATAGGCAACTATCTATCTAGCTATCTATCATGCGCAAATATTGCGCAGTCTTGAAGCATGAAGAGCAAGGGGACGAATGCGTCATCATGTTGCGACGAGAAACGTTTTTCTAACGTGACGCTTTATATGAAAGCAAATTTAAAAACACGGGCTGAAGAAATATCTGCTAATTTTATATATAT